TGATGCTGTCATTGGCAGATTAATTTAAGTGGTTTGATGAAGTATTAGCTGGTAATCTGGAACACTACCTCATGTAACCAAAGAGAGAATAGGTCTTTTAAACTCCTTTGTCTATATACAGACTCCTTGGCCTATGTACATCCTTTGTGCTTAGTGATTTATTACCCTTCAACAGCTGTGATGCCTTAAAAGAGCCTCTGTTTGTCCCAATGGGTCCAAATCCTGGTCCAAGAATTGTTTTTTACCTGCTTACCTGAATTGCTGGTTTTGGTGGGGTGACTTTGTTGTTTTGGTTTTTTTTTTTAAGAATATAATTTTGATCTCACAAAGCTTTTTTTGTCCTTAGTTTTTTGAGGCTCTTTTTTTGTCCTTTTGTTTTTTTGCCTGCTTACATGTCTTAGATTACATTTATGGCCCCAGTTTCAAGTGTCCTGGGACAGAATAGCCTACACCTTTCAGTGGTGTCGCCCCTCTAACACCTCTAGAGTGCCTTGCAAATGGATAGGGTGGCACTGGACACCACATATATAACATTAGTTTGCTCGGCACTGCTGATGTCCATATTGCACTCTGTCCAGGCAGCCCGCACAATGGTCAGAGTCAGGCATTGCCCCTCATCTCCCTGCTCTTCTTGCACAGCAAACAAAATAAGGGAAGCCTGGAATGGCTCTGGTGGCTGAACCTGAAGCACTGATTATGAAGATCCACACTGCTTTCCCAGGGCTTCTCTAACATTTTAGTCTGATAATAATTGAAAGGGTGGGGAAGCCTTGAAAATTTTTAAGAACATGCTTGAGGCTTGCTAGAAGAAGTGGATGTTGGTTTCCCAAAAGTCTGTTTCTGAGACATACTGATATGACAGGTCGGTACCTTCTCCTTTTTCTTGGGCAAAACATCTGTGCTGTTCTTCCATGTTGAGCCTCTAAGGAGATAGGACTTCAGAGTCACCTCCCAGCAGGCAGTACTGCTCTGGCACTGGTAGCCCTGTGGTTGCCTAGAGGCCGCTTGCATTGGTTGGCAAAGAGCTCTGTCTTGTGGTTCTCTCTGACATCCTCTGAAACCAGCCTAAGAGGCCTAAATTACAGATGAAAAATAAGCAACATCAAGACCAATCTGTGGATGTGGCCACTTCCCCCATGTTTTGTGGCTTTCACAGTTTGTTTGTTTGTTTTTTTTTTTTCTCCTCATCCAATGAAGTTCTGCATCCCCAAAGTACCTTTGGCCATCCCTCTCCACATCATGTGGAATTTAGGCTGTTTGTTTATTCTAACTCCTCCTAGCCTGCAGTAATGTCATACACTATGATGTCTGTAAAAGAACGTGTTTCTGTTGCAGAACCAGGCAATTGTTGCTGTGGAGAAAGAGCTCTGTAGTATGGAGTAAGTATTATGTAGGAACTTGCTCTTCTCATTGCTATTCAGAAGCCACTTTAAGAAGTAACAGAGAAAACAGATCAGCTTCTGGATTATGCTGGCACTTATTGACCCAGTGATGTATTAATGAAGGTTTTTTTGTTGCAGCAGAGGGCTTTTTCTTTTCTGCAGGAGTATAAAATGCCCCTGGCACAGCTACCCTCTAAGCATGAAAACTTGGAAATTAATCTTCATTTCAGTTTGTCATACATAAAATTTACTTTAGCTATTATGTCCTTGAACATATTTTTTTAGTGTCTGAATTGTTCAGAATGAATGCTTAAAATTAATCTCACTCTATGATATTTCTCTATCTCCTTTCTTGGAATAAAATGTTTGTGATTCTCATCTGCTTTGTTTAGTTCTAAGTCACAACACTATTCTTAAATCACCTGTCACGGGTTGCTGTGTTCTATTGCACCACAATACTCTAAAGACAAACAACCATAGAAATACTTTTATATAAATCCTGCAGAATTCCTTCTTACATATTTATAAATGTGGATATGAATATATATATATAGCAGGATTTCCCTTCTTAATTGCTAGTTATTTTTCGTAGCATTATAATGTGTGCAGCTACTAGAAATATGATGCCAGTGTGGTCATGGTATGATAGTGCTAAACCAGTTTTTAGTCCACTTGAATGATTTTAGTGTAATGTTACTGAAATTCAGAATTTTACAGTAAATATGCCAAATTACTTGTAGATGTTGAATCTTAAATAGAAGGAAATCAGCAATGGGAAGAATGAATTAAGTAAAAGGAATTGTTTATTAATGTTTAAATTCAAGCTGAACTACAATAACAAATTAAGGAACAGTACTTACACTATATGTGATCACAAAGAAATACTCTTTTTTTCACCAAGTGTGTTGTATTTTTTTGAGTAATTGCTTTCCTAAAGTAAGTTTAGGAATGAGCAGGTCTGTGTTAGCAACTGCATTGGATAGTGCTTGTACCAAGGTTTGCTGATGACTTATACAGTGTTTAAATGGAGGGTTTCATAAAGAATATTGTGGTTTTTCAACCAAACATAATTGTGGTTATCCAATATAAAATGCCTAGAACCAAATAAATAAACCTCTTTCACTCCACTGTAATAAAAATAAAACCATTTTACAGCACGACAGAGTAATTCTTTGCTGGCAATTGATGTAAGTCATAGAATTATTTAATTGTGAATCTGGACAAACTCTATTCATCGGGCCAGTTGTGGATCCACAGATTGTCAGTAATAGAAGTCTGCTGTATTACAGCTGTATGTATTACGCTGCTACCATCATTTTAGTAACATGGATGCATGCAATGATTTGCCCTGCTTACAATATGTTTGCAAGCATGTGTTGCAGAGGTGAGGATAAAGGGCATGTAGCTTATTATGTAATTACTATGCACGCAGAACTACTTCTTGATTATGGGGAAAGTTGTTATTCTGCCATGGCTATTAATGCCAGTAGGCTCATTTTGATGATGCTTTCTCTTAATGTATTAGCTTTAACCTTTGAAGATTTGATTTAAATCCTAACTGTGCATCGCAGACAAAGAGATATGTATTAATTTCCAAGTTCTGAGAAGGCATTTTTCCACATGGTAAAGTCTTTGTGCATGTGTGCTTGATTAGCTATTATCGCTTTACGATAAGTGGCATACTTTTGCAGATATGGCTTACACATATGAATAATACAAACTCTGGTTCATCATTTTTTCTGTTATATGGTTACTTTTGGCAATATCCTAAGTATAAAAATTCCATTTTCATGAAACTATGCTATTATTTTCTCCTTTTGAAAAATCATACGGTAGTAAATACTGGATACAACAGAGGACAGTAAGTGGAAGCTTGCCAGCTGCCATACGGGGCTAATAATGGTAATGGCATGCTGTATTGTAAACTCAAGACTTAGAGCAGTTTATGCATGTATGCAGTGTGACCTTACATTGCTGTCAAAATTTATAATCATCACATCAATTTATAGAAGGAATTATTAAGTGTTAAGTCTGTTATACATTGAGAACATTTTGGACACCCTAGATCTCAAATGTTCTAATATGTCTGTGTGGGGCAATAGATTAATACAACACCATGTGTTAAGAAGGGGTCATGGCAAAGGTTGTATGCTCTCGGGAACCATTTTAAAGTCAAGATTAAGATGTGCTTAATTTAAAGGAATCAAAAATTGATATTATCCAGCAAGCACTTGGGTTTTTTGTTGGTGAAGTTTGGGGTGGGGTTTTTTTTGAGATGAAGAAGCCAAATGTATCCTAAATATATGGTTGTATTCTCTGTATTTTGACATAGTGTGTTGTATGTAGAAAATCATGAAAGTAAAAGTGGGAATAAAAGTTTTATCTTAGAATATATTGCATAAATTACGTGCTTAATTCATCAGTAAGTGTCACATATACAGGTTTTCCCAAAGTTACTGACAGAGAAGATCTAGAGAGATATAGAGGAGAGTTACATAAGTGCACCTATATGTGGGAGTGTGGGTAAACTGTGGTACTCTGAACTTCGATGACATGTTCCATAGTACTGTTTTCATTAGTCTGGTCTATGTTACATTTGGCTCTACAGTGTGAATGAGCAGGAGAGTAAGTCTTAGTCTTTCAAGCAACATTAATTCATCTAAATATCACCAACTAATTTTTAGTTTAAACAACATAACGTACTGCATCACTGAGTTCAGTAATTGACCATATTACTCTCTTCAGTTACCACATTACCAGTTTTGGGCAGGGTAATGAATCTTTACTTACTGCCAAGTATTGCTTTCTGTGAACTTACTGTTCATGATGCTGTCATGCTACATGTGGACGTTTACTGCTTTATCAGCCCTTCAGGACTTGGTTTCAGGATTTAGGAGCTGGATAACCAAATGCATCCAGGCCCCTGAAGGAGGCCGTGTCTCTTTTCCCATGAGGTTTTAGCCATGTCATGCTGTTTCATCGTACCAGAAACCAGGACCTCATTGCTCCCATCTAAATATCCTAACTGATTTGTAGTTTCTTTCTGGCTTTGTCTGCCATCTTCAGTTGAAAAAAATGCCTCTTAGGCCACAGTGGCTAGCGTGATTTTTATGCATGTGATTTCTGTCTGTCAGTCTCTTGGTGTTAATTGCTTCTGTATTTTGAAAGGTTGAGCTCCTTGAGATCTTTTGAGACCTCAAAGTTCTGGTGCTTGGCACAGTTCAGTCATTTGCTTCATGAATTTGAGGTGGAAGATGCTGGCAAAGGCAGCTAGTTGCTCCCTTTCATGGTGGATTAGGAGCTTAAAAGGAAGAAGTTGAATTGTCACATCTCTCAGTTTCTTCTTAAGACATTGTCATGTGACGTTGGTCAAGTTTAGGTGATTACTAATTGCTTGGTGGTGTACTCAGTATACTTTAAACAAATGTGTAGTGGAGCACAGAGTGGGGTGCTATGTCTCTTGCTTGGTTGTGACCCAGTTCTTTAAGCAGCTGGATTAGGGCAGTTGCGATTGACTCGGTATTGGAATCTCAATGTATTAGTTTCAATAAATTTATGTTTAATACCTGAAAAGTACATCTGAGTTATTCTAATATGTTCTTGTCTTTGCTTCCATAGTACCAGGATACGAATATGCAAGGTGTAGTGTACGAATTGAACAGCTACATAGAACAGCGCCTGGATACAGGAGGAGATAACCAACTACTTCTGTATGAACTGAGCAGCATTATTAAAATTGGTAAGAAGGAGAATCAGATGTATCTGAGCTGTTACTTAGCCTCAGTGGACAGCACATTTCTTATGTGGCATGCTTAAAACAGGTATTGGGGGATAACTGTTTTCTTTGGATGTTGTCTCAGTATGAACTTTGCCTTCTGTCCCTCAGTGAATCCCTGGCTGCACTTAAGTGAATTTTATCATTGCAGAGAGTTGTGTATCCAATTGCAAAATTAGAGTCCCCTGTTAAATGAACCAAAGAATAGACTATTCTGGTTCTGATGGTGTTGCAATGTCAATATTGAAAGTAAAAAAAAAATAAAAATCTACCAGTAGTATCACTTCATGCTGGAACTTTTGAAACAATACTCAGATGTTACTGAAAGAGGGCATGTCTTTTGCATAATCTCAAATTACATTCAGTTTAACCATATTTTTCTATCTGATGTAAGCACCTTTTGTGGTAAGACAATACTATATGTGATCAAACGTTAAAAAAAATAAAACCAAAAAAATCACAATGACAGTATAAGTGTAATTTGACTTCTTTTTAGCTTCAGTGGATCTACTCAGACTTCAATAGGAAGCATCAGTAGCTTTGTTCAGTGTAGTTTTCAGTCCTTAGAAAGGTTTTTCTGTCCCTGCTACTTCATCATTTTGTAATGATGAATAATAGTTATAATTTTTATATATATATATATATATATATATATATATATATATATATAT